CTCCTGTGCGGTGGATTTTGCCCCTTATAGGCTAAAATTACTGATTCCTAGAATCTTGTTTTTTAGTCAGTCATGCAGGTTCTCACATTCTAGAACAATTTTTGGTGTGCAAAGAAGTCCTCCCGCTGTCTCTGCTCACCTCTTGGCATTAAAATGTCTGCTTACCTCTTTATACAGATTTTTTTTTACTACACTCTTTGCTTTTAATGGATTTTGTGGCTTCCATTCTTTTTTTTTCTTGCCCTTTGCTTAGAGAGCTCTCTTATCTATCCATATCTCTTTAAAGATTGCTTTCCTGAGAACATCCGTGGACCCCCCCTCTCTTGGACGTCACTGGTTATGGGTGCTCTACCTAAGCCTCCGATTTGTTTTGTTTATATTTCATAGACTACTTTGTCTTCTCAGGGTTTGGTATGACAGGCTTAGGGTCTTACCCAAGTAACTTTATTTTTGCTGACCAACTTAATTGTTGGTCTGCCTTATTTTCATGTTGGTAAGTTTTTTCCACCTCTTCTTTTTTTTCCTTAAAGTAGATGATTGGTTGTCCTTTTAGTTGAGGCTCCTTATTCCTTCAGGTTCCAGTTTCCTCTTGTAGGATTATCTGCCCTGACATGTAATACTAGAGCATCCCTTGGTGTCATTTCATTGGCATATTCCCCGTCCATTTTTATAAATTCTTCTCTGTCAAGCTTTCATGAAGTCTTTGCCCATCTCTCAGTTGGACGGCTTTTGGACATCCCACATGCCCAGGACTTTCTACAGCCCTGTGTCCCTTAATGGGCGATACAGAAAATAAGATATTTGTACCATAAAATCGGTTTCTTAAAGTCCATATCCTTTGTGATATTGGCTTTATGTACTGTTTGCTCAGAAAATTGAGGCATGGGGGTTGGATACAGGCTTAATGTTTTTTGATTTGCCAATGTCCAAACTTCCTGTAGGTAGCAGTGTAACTCACATATCCAAAACTTACCATATTGCTGTGTCCCTCATTGGACTTAAATCAACAAATTTTATGGCAAGCACAAAAACTATCTTTCATCCTCTACAGCATGTGTCAAGGCCTGAGGGGCCGAATCTGGCTTGCCAGACCATTTCTTGTGACCCTCGCCCCTCTCTGCAGCTGCGGCACCTCCTTTGTCTCCCCCCTTCACCATGTCTTAGCAGTCGACAGTGGGGAGGAGGATAGAACTCCTCTGCCAGACCCTGCGCTTCTCTGTGCAGCCATGGAGAGGCTCTTCTCTCCCCCCAGTCTCAGCAGTCGGCAGCAGAGAGGAGGGCAGAACTCCTCCTACAGATCCTGGGCCTCTCTTTGCAATACCCCCTGTGGTTTCAGCATTCAGCAGACTATGGCAGCTGACTCCAGCCCTCCTTTGGTTCCTGGCAAGCAGCACAAAGTAAGGGAGGGTGAACTGTGATGTACGGGGAGGGTGGGTGACTCTTAACTTCTGATGATGGAGGTGGGGGGGGGGCAGCTCTTGACATCTGTTAGGAGGGGGTGGAGGTGCTCTGGACATCTAGTCTTACAGATATAACTGGTCCTTTGCGGGCAACCATAATGCGGCCAACAATGAAATTGAATTTTATACCCCTGCTATACAGTATCTGGGTGAAGATCTTTCAGACTCAGAATTCAGAGGCAGTCAGTGCACAGGAAGAGCTACATATCTTTGCATGGTAACACTGTGCATAGTAGTAACTGATGTTTCTCATGTAGGAACCTGTGGTGAGACTATATAAGTATTCCAAACGTATTATTAAATTATCACAATACATGTCACATGTTTATCACAAACCTCTAAATGAGAATCGGAAATATCATGCGTTTTGCTTTATGTGCACAAACCCAATTTGAATGTACACTCCATCAGTCAGGAGCCTTCAGAGAAAACAGATTTCCGCCTTCAGTTCTGATGCAGGATGTAGTCAAAAAGAGCAAGACAAAGGGTAGCAGATAAAGTTTGAGTGTTCTGGTGCTCCTAACCTGATGCATTAAAACAAAATATTATACATATTTACCTTATATGCACATAGTCCTATCACTGCAATTCTGAAAAATTGACACAATTGGAATGTCTATTTTTTTTTTTTTTTTCCAGTTTTTATTGAGTGAAAATGTCAAACCTTGCATCAGTCATGCAAAAAAAAAAAAAAAAATCAAATAAATAAACACATATATTAAATTTCTAACAGCACTAAATTCAAGTGGAAAAATATTCAGTTCTTATTAATGTGGGAAAGTCCAATTCAAGTATTTAGAAGAACCCATTCTTACCTGGCTTAATAATAATAATAATAATGTTAAAAGTATATATATATGTATGTAATACATATATACAAAACATATATATATATATATATATATCACATACCACATTATATACATATGTACACATGCTTATACCTATATCAATATACAGACAGGGTATTCAGATATAGATAGTACACTGTAATTAGCCAGGATGACCTTAAATTTGTTTCCACAAAAAATTTGAAAAAAAAAAAAAAAAAAGACGTTAAAATTTTGTAGATGAGTTGGAGATGGCTTATGTCCTACTGTGCAATATCAAGTTTAAAAAAAAAAAACTCCAACCTGATCATTTCTTCATCTTTTTTATTCTTTTAATATATCATTCCATTTTTTTTGCTACATTTAAGTATATTTATTTTCTTGTTTTTTTATGGGTGCTATAAAGTGTGTATTAGAGATTGTAGTGTAGCTGCTGTTTCAGTAGAACCTCTCTTTACAACCACTGGCCCCTTTCCTGATGCTGCGGTAGGACAAGCTCATACTTACCTGCAAAAGAAGAAACTTTTTTTTTTTTTTTCCAGGTATATGACAAATAGAGGACATCAGGAAAGGGAAGTTCATAGTTATTGCTGTGATGTTTTACAGCCTATAAACAAATTTGCAAAACACCACTCCTATCTTCATATAGTTAACCTTTTGGCTTCTTAGACACCACACTGTATGTTTCACACATTGATGGTTTTCTCAGTTGCAAAAGGGTTTGAGAGGCATTTATTCCCAGACTCATCTCACAAATAAAATATATTTATACGTTAAAAATAAAAAATAAAACCCTGCAAAAAAAAAAAGCACACGTAACTGATCGAGGAGGAAACCCACAAATTAAATATTTAACTACAAACTTATATTAACAATCTGAAGATTACAATCCTCCATATTATCTGAACATTACGTTATTTTATTCTCTATAAAATTCAAGTTAAAAGTCGGAATCACGCATTTCAGTGCTAAAGTGAAGTCAGACATCAGGACTTCCAAGAAATCAGAAGCTAAAAACAAAAAAAAAAAAAAAAGGAGTTAGAGCAGGGACTAGGGGCTGACATTTGCCTGCTGATGCTCAGACATACAGCCACCTTTGCAAACTTACTTTTTTTTTCTATATGTTTTTTTTTTTTTTTTTTCACTTTTGCTTTTTTGTTCTATATATAATAACCTTTACAGAAAAAAATACTGTACAACTTTTTCTTTAAATCAGAATTAATAAGTTGCTCTGACATCATTCATTGCGAACACTTGAGGCTTTCCCTCCTCATTTATTTGCTGTTTGCTTTTTTTTTTTTTTTTTTTAGGTAAATAAATCGAACACATCTAGAAATTGTTGAGGTGGGTGGGACCCGTTCAATTTGTGTCTGATAGCTAAAGAAGATGGAAGCCATTCTGTAGTGCTTTGAATACTTGTAGTAGCGCTACCAACATCCACTTACTAAATCCTAAATAATCCTGGTCAGAGAACTTGCGCTTTGATTTAACACTCAAATGCTGCTTTCCTTTGGCAGAAAACCGTGTTGGATTTGGGTAGAAAGGGCCACAAAAGCCTATCTAGTGACCGTTAAAAATAAGGGGAAGGGAAGCAGAGTGCTGGAGCTTACGTTTAAGCCAAAAAGAGAAAATAAGAAGCCTCCGACCATATATTTATCAGTTTTATTTTATTTTTTTTTTACTGAATAGTTTTCTACCTGAGAAAGAGGGCATCCTGTGCTATAGTTATTGGTCTGCAGAATCGACTGCTAGCCCCATCTGTTTCTTCTAGAATATGACTGTTTTGCAGTATATAGTCATTTGATGTTCCACTACAGGTCACTATAGCTGGGCTACACAGAACAGTTCAAAGTGGAAGAGAACCGTGGCTCGACTGACTCCTGGGCAGCAATAGCTTCTTGCTTATGGAACTTTCTTCGGAAGGTGCTACAGGAATCCCACCTCTTATGACACACATCTACCCCCACTAAAATTTCCAATATTTTATCAAGCAGTTAACAGCACGTCACAGAGGGGCTGAAGGGGATCCCCCAGCGTAATGAGGTTAGCCTGGCTTCTTATACAAGTCTTATGTTCAAATACGCCAGAACAATGCCAAAATAAATAAATAAACAAACCAGAGCAATTGGTGCAGAGGAAAAAAAAAAAAAAAGCTTTCTATATAAATATTTATAAAATAAAACAATAGCTTCTCGGGAACAACCCAGAGAGAAACTGGAAGAACAGGAGAGAGAGCTCATCACAGGGCGCCTGATAATGCTAATCAATAAATACCCATAACCCAAGCCCGGCTGACCTCCTCCCTTGCCACAAACACATAGAAGCGTTAGCCTTTTCTGGCATGCTAGAGCAGGAGTAGCGAATACCCCATCTTCTCACCCCTCTTTTAAAAGGGCCAGCAGTTGGATTTTATATTAAGTGGAGTCATACAGAAATATGCTTTGTCCCATTTTGCTCTCAAGCACCAGAATGAATAGATTGTAATGGAGGAGGCCAGCAAACAGAAATGCCCCCTTGAGTCTTGTCTACTGATCACTTGGTCAAGTCCCCCTATGCAGAAGTCATTTAGCTGCTTTTTTTTTTTTTTTTCCTTTAATTTACTATTCCTTCACTTGTTCTTTGTATTTATTTTTGGGGTGTTTGTATGGGTTGCGAGAGCAGGACCCTCGTTGGGAGTGACTTATAAAAACATTCAAAGTTTAAAGTAGTTTTAAGGGGATGTCTGAAGGTTTAATGGAGTTTGGGAGGTATCACAGTGGTTTGTAGAATCCTCTGCACTTTCGTTCCTTCCTTTCCTTGGTAAACATTCACCATCAGGCAAGGAATCCTCAGAATCTGTATTAAGATCCTCCTCCTCGTCCTCATCTTCATTCAGTTCTTCATCATCATCATCGTCGTCGTCGTCCTCTTCATCTTCATCATCATCTTCTTCCTGGGACAGATCATCATCGACATCCCTGCAATTGGTCGTCTCAATGTTTTCCCTTGAGCCACTGTCAGCACCATCCTGTGGCTTCTTGCTCAGGTCTAGTGAGTCATTCAGGCCTACCCCAGCAGCATTTTGTAGGAATAGGAGAGAGCTGTGAGTGTCTGTGCTCAAGTTTGAGAGAGCTGTCCAAGTTCACTGTTTGATTGTGGAGGTCAAACTCAGGTGCACTATGAGTTGATCCTTCTGGACCTGGAGAAACAGAGGGTAGCTCCCCCCGTTCTTGTTTCTCATGTTTGCGCTTGTGTGAGTCCATTTGAGACATTCCCACCACAGTGTGCTTACAGCTGGGATAAGTGCAATGAAAGTGTGAGCACTTCAGCTTGTACTTGCAGTCGGGCACTTCACAATCTACACTGGAGCTAAATTGGCAGAATCCAGCAGCACTGATGACGTCCTGCTTTCCATGGTGCTTGCGGTGCGCGGTCACTTTAGTGCTGTCAGTGCATCGGAAGCCACAGCGCAAACAGTGGAAGTGAGTGCTGTTCCCTGAGAACTGGCAGTCAGGGAAGTTGCAGCTAAGAGAGGATTTGAACCGCTTAAAGTCATCTAAAACCAGGTTGTCCACTCTATCATGGTGCTGGGCATGTTTGTACATGTGTGTTCGTCCACAGAATTTGTAGCCACAGTTCTCTCTGGTACAGTGATAATGAGTCACCTTCAAGGAGAACTGGCATGCGGAATCTTTGCAGTCTTCATACAGATCGTAACGCCTGAATCCTTCCAACATCATCCCTTCATCCAGCATTTTGCGGGAAGAAGCGGTCTTGCGTCGTTTACCAAAAGGTGACATATCCTCAATGATCCAGAATCGTTTTTTGGCTCCAGAAGCTGTTGGCATGGTAATGGTGTTCCCTGAAATAAGTAGAGACTTTGGTATTAGAACCTGATAGAAGAATCTGATTAAATTGATTTAAATAAAATAGGTGTATGTGAGGTATTATGCCAGGTAATGGAATTATACATTTCATAATATTATCTTAGAAAATTATTCTGTATAAACATTGACAGAATAACACATTGTCATTATCTTTTGTGTGCATGTAGATTATCACACTATATCATTCATTAAAGGTTGTTCTAATTATGCTTTTTTAACAGCTTCTGCCTCATCCAACCTTTTATTTCTGGATTTCACATTATATATATATATATAATGTTGTGTGTGTGTGTGTGTGTGTGTGTGTGTGTGTGTGTGTGTGTGTGTATATGTGTGTGTATATATATATATATATATATATATATAATAATGTGTTGTATATTTAATGTGTGTGTGTATGTATATATATATATATATATATATATATTATATATATATATTTGTAATGTGTGTGTGTATATATTATATAACAATATATATATTGTGTGTGTGTGTATATATATATATATATAATGTAATGTGTGTGTGTGTGTGTGTATATAATATATATTATAAATGTGTGTGTGTGTGTTATGTATGTATGTATATATATATATATATAATGTGAAATCCCAGACATGTCTGGACACTATATAATATATATATATATATATATATATATATATAAATGTGAAATCCAGATATATACATTTATATCATATATATATATTTATATTTTTATATATCTGGATTTCACATTTTATATATGTATATTATATGTGTGTGTATATATAGTAATGTGATGATCTCTTTGTATATGTTATCAGGCAATATACAGTGTCCTACCAGAGGTGTATACCAACTGTTGGAGGATGACATATCCAGGAAGCACATTAAATGTGAACTTCCCACCTCTGTATTTCTGCCCTAGTAGACTTTGGGGGAGATTTACTAAAACTGGAGCACTCAGAATCTGGTGCAGCTGTGCATGGCAGCCAATCAGCTTCTAACTTAAGCTTGAACAATTACGCTTTGGCAATAAAACCTGGAAGCTGATTGGTTTCTATGCAGATCTGCACCAGATTTTGCACTCTCCATTTTTAATAAACAACACCTGAAGTCTTATTTATTCAGCTTCTATATCGAAATGCTGCTTCTTCTTCTCTATATCAAGCCAAATTGTATTTTTTGGATTGAGTAGGGAATCATTAAAGCTTCTGTCACCTGCGCTACCGTTCTGGTGAATCTACGGATTCCGGCTGTCAGAATACAATAGCTGGCAGTGGGAGCTTCATCCATCCACACGGGTGGAGGAATTGAGTGATTTCTTTCCTTCATCCCAATGGGCTGAGTGTTTATTGCCAGCTTAAGACAACTGTCAATGGAGTAGTGTCTCCATTTTTTTACTTCTGGTCCTGGTGACAAAACATTTTTGGTTGCTCATTATTTTCAGTCCTGGAGACAACAGTCCCAGGCTAATAGGGAACATACATCTCATCACCATGGACTGTTGGCTTCACACAACAGAGCCAACACGTATACACCATAGTGCTCAGGGATACTTGGGAAGTGACCAGGTGGCAAATTGAAGATCATCAAATAGATGCTAGAATAGCAATGGTCCACCAATGCTGCCCTCCTGAGATCAGGGATTCTTAAACGCTTGGCGCCGGCACCTCTCGACCCTTAAAGAGGTTTCAGATGCTGGGAGGTGGGGTTTTTGATCGTGTGATCACTGTTTGGCTGTCACAGCAGTCACATGGTAGGAAAGCTTCCGATCGTAAGTAGAGATCGGGAGTTTTTCCATTAGCCACTGGTAACTGTGCTGGGAGCAGGCGCGGTTCACGCTCTTGGCACAGTTTTGTTTTTCTTTGGCTATGCATATATTTGACCTCTTGGCCCACCAACCAAGAGGCCGCATATATGCATGCAGCCAATGGGAAGGTGTTAAACAATGAACAAAGGACGCAAAAGGCCTAGAGCATTACCATTATCATTTATTGAATATAATAACAAGTGAGTAAATATTCATAAAAGCCAAGGAATAAAAGCGCAGTACAAACACGGAAACCACGATGGTGATCCACAAAATGGAACTTGTCCTTACATGAATCAGACTACCACTGACACATTCCGAGGGGCACACCCTCTTCTCCAGAGCAAAATTTAGCAGATTTATGTAGGGACTCTGCGAGTTCCATCTTCTGGATCAAACATCGTAGTTTCTGTGTTTGTATTACATTTGTATTCCTTAGCTTTTGAGCATGTGCTCGTTTTTATATTCAATAAATTATAACAGTACTGCACTAGGCCTTTGTGCCCTTTGTTGATTTATGTTTAAAATGTAGGCTGACCATCCACAGAAAGACAGAATGAGGTCGTTTTTAGCAAATTTAGATGTGCACCCATAGAATGAATTCAGTATGATCCAATTGCTCATCGATCACTGCCAAACTACCTGAATGCTTAGAGGTGGGGGCAGGCAGAAGAAGAGTCGCAATCTTAAATGACTTATCTTGGTCCATTTTTTTTTTTGCATGCTAGTCTCGTATAGGTAACTAGAGTTCCGAAAATTCTTTTAAGACAGAATACAACTTATTGCGATGATGTAAAGTATTCTTAAGTTTCCGAGCATGCGCGGTCTTGGTCACTTGATTATTTTAATGAACGAATACTTATTTATTTCAGGTACTTATATAGTGCCGTCAATTTACACAGCGCTTTATATACTTTACTATAACCACTTCCCGACCGGCTGTTGCATATTAACGGCCGGACGGACGGTGGCAGTGCAGGGTCGGGTGGCCGTTTATAAACGGCCTTCCCGCACCCTGCTTGTGCGCGCTCCCTCAGAGCGCGCAGCACCGCGATCCGTTGCCCACTGTGTCCTCCGAACACAGTGAAACACCGATCGTTGGAAGGGACCTCTGTACGAGGTCCCGATCATGTGATCACTGATTGGCCAATCAGTGATCACATGCAAAGTAGTAAGCAAGATGTCACTTGCTTACTACGTGTGAAATCTGTGAATGATCAGAGGTCACATGGTACAAGGCTATTCACAACAGCCTTGTACCATGTGACAAGCTGTGACCAATCACAGCTCACTCAGTACTTCTCAATGAGTGCAAGAACGCAGACAGAGAGAAAGAGAAATTATTGATTTTACATCCTATATGGGTGTAAAAGCAATCGGTGTAAAAAAAAAAAAAAATCTTCAACCCCCCCTCACAAGTAGTACAGTGTCACCATGGTGACACTGTACTGCTAGGGTGACAGTATGTAAAATAAAATAATATAAAAAAAAAATAAAATAAAAATGTAAAAAAAAATGTTTACAAAATTATAATTTTTGGTTATAAACTAATTTGGTTTTTATTTTTTTTACTAAAAAGATAACGGAATAAATTTTGGCAAAGATTATGATGAAATATTATTTATTTGCAAAATTTTATAAAAAAAACACTTTTTTTCAAAATTTTGGGACATTTTCATTTACATAGCAAAAAAAATAAAAATCCCAGCAGTGAATAAATACCACCAAAATAAAGCTTTATCTGTCTCAAAAAAATAAAAATAAAAAATAATAATATAAAATAAAAATGTAAAAAATTTTTTTACAAAAATTATAATTTTTGGTTATCAACTAATTTGGTTTTTATTCTTTTTTACTAAAAAGATAACGGAATATATTTTGGCAAAGATTATGATGAAATATTATTTATTTGCAAAATTTTATAAAAAAAACACTTTTTTTCAAACTTTTTGGACATTTTCAGTTACATAGCAAAAAAAATAAAAATCCCAGCGGTGAATAAATACCACCAAAATAAAGCTTTATCTGTCTCAAAAAAAATGGTAAATTCATTTGGGTACAGTGTTGCATGACCGCGCAATTGTCATTCAAAGTGTGATAGCGCTGAAAGCTGAAAATTGCCCTGGACAGGAAGGGGGTGAAAGTGTCCGGTCTGGAAGTGGTTAATCGTTCATTCTGTTATCGTACGAGAAAAATTTTCATACTTTTTGTCCCTTTAGATAATTTCACATGAACGGTTGTGATTGGCTCTCAAAAGCTGTGTACCAACGATCAAATTATCGGACGATCACTCCGAAAGCGGTATTATTCATCTGATTTTCTCATTGTGTATCAGCCTTAAGATCACTGGGAGTCAGAGGGAGGTATGTTGTCCCTGTGCCCACCTTCCACCCTTAACAGTCATGACAAGCGTAGGAGTGGCCACACCCTACTTCAGTTTCTTAAATCCTTCCACAGTTATGTGACCCATAACATTTCCCCGTTAACACAAAGTTTTTTGTTTTTTTTTTAATGGGAAAAAGTTTGCTTTTAAAAACTGCACTGGGGTAGAACTACATAGTCAGCGTAGGTTTAAACAGTGCTTAGCAGAGTTCCTTCTCAAAACAGAATTTCAGGCAAACTGCTAAATACACAGTTGAAATACACTCCGTATATATTTACTTTTTTCCAGCAAACGAATTGTAATTTTGTATAGCCAATATTGTGCTCTACACACGTCTGCCACGCTGCACAGCAAGCCAGGTGACACACTTATTTTCTGGTTCAGAAATTCAACCTCTCCCTATTTTGTTTTCCTTTTGGACAAAACTCATCACCATTATCTATGTCCAATGAAGGTGATCCAGAAACCAGTGAAGTGAACCAGGCAGTATGTAAAGTGATCTTCCTAGCTACAGCAGATGTATGAATGCCATCAGACTGTGGTGGTGTTTGGCTGGTAAAACGGTAAACTTGTACTTCAAGTGTGTGTTTGTTTGCTTGGAATTCACCTTTAAAGCCAACGTTTTCTTCTAGTTTTGGATAGAGTAAAGATCAGAACCACTAACCCGATTTTGCTGCTATCCAGGGCTCCCCTAGAGAGAATTTTCTCTTACTTCCTGCCCCACTGCAATGTTTTTACCAATCAGGAAGGGAGGGCAAATCTACAGCAGGAACACAGACAGAAATAAAAGTTCTATCCTTCCTCCAAGAAATGCATTTTTTTGTCTGTTTTGCAGAGTTCCCATCACTACCTGTCTGGTGAAACATGAGCAGGACGGGAGGTAGGGGTAAATATCTCTAGCAGAGCCTTGGATAAAAGTATACCCTAGGACAAAAGGTATGTATAAAAAATGTATTTAAAGAAAAAAAATGTGGGGAGGAATGGGGTGGTCCTGGAGTTAGGTTTAAAATAGACCAAACATTAGCTATACAATGTTCAAATTTCCACTGGTTCTTGATTAACCAATGGGTGGACGTGAAATCTGCCTTTCACCTGACATCTCTTGATTGAAAAATTGAAGGAGACGGGTGGAAATGTGTTGGCCGAACAGAGCCTACATCCAATTTTGTCAGCTATTGAAACTATCAAAATACTTGTGAGTCATGGGCCATGACTTTGTGGACCCACCAAACGTGGATGCGTAGCGCCACTGTGATACTAAGGTGTGTCTATGTATATGGTTTTATATATTCTCTGTCTGAATCTTTATATGTTACTTGTAATTCTTCTGAAAATAATAAAAAAGAATTGAAAGAAACTATCAAAATACAACAGCCATAGCAGAATGCTCTTCCATCTGTGCTGTGTAGCATAGATGGAGGACTCTTTTGGATTTTTTTTCTTCCAACTTTAAAAAGTGCCCATCATTTTGTCAGAAATCAATTGCAGCATTCAAAAGACACATATTGGAGATGTAGCGTTTCCTTTCTTGCAGATAGAAATATTTCCATGTATCAGCCATGGGGAACAAGATTAGCCAGTGTATTACAAAGATTAGACTGGCATTAAGATTTTACCCTCAACCTACCACCAACAGAATTACTACAGTCTTCGCTAGATGTCTTTGTAGTTCATAACTAGGGATGAGCTTGTGTTGAGTCCAAACTTGGGTCAGCTGTCATTCCTGGGCAAATATGCCAATTTTGATCCATGAGATTGACCTAATGGGGTTTATTTACTAAACCTGGTTGACTCAGAATCTTGTCCACTTCTGCATAAAAACCAATCAGCTTCCAGGTTTTATTGCTGAAACTTAACTGAACATGCTGAGGTTAGAAGCTGATTGACTACCATGCACAGGTGCCCAAGATGCTGAGTCAACCAGTTTTAGTAAATCTCTTATAATATGGCCATGTGGGGTCAATGGTGTCATCCCTGCCTCTTTTTGTACATCAGCCGTGGGGCCGGGAGTGCCTCACCTGCAACTCCTTGGCCTAGGAATGACAGTTGACTTTCTGGTCCAGAACAGACACAAGCTCATCCCTATTCCGAATTTATCCACAGCACCATCAACAAAGTTATTTTTCCTTCAATGGCAAACAGGAAAATCAAACAGTTCTAGATGTTAATTAAGCTGTTCCTTGATTTCCACTCCGGAACAGGATATGTCTATGGAACTGGTGGTGATCCGTTCTCCTGAACTTGGGAGGAAATGAGGAAGATTGGCAAAATTCCACAAGTTCGTAAAGTTGCTGGCTATCAATGAAAACACAGCTAATACTCTAATGGCATAGCTTTCAGGTAAGGAGTATATTGTTTGTCTCCACATGAAGTCCAAAAACAAATGAAAAGACCAGCAGTTATTTTAGTTAACAGCCAGCAAATACACATTTTAAAAAGTATAATTCAAAATGATCTGGCAAGAAATGACTGTTTTATTCTGCGATTCTGGATACACATAATCTAGGATGGGAGGATGGCATAGAAGAAGCTGAAAGGTACCTGCTGCATCCTGTACTAGTGGAACATCACTTTTGACTGGAGCTTGAGTGGCTATTACTGGTGTGAAAGTTGGAGCGCTGCTTGTTGGCACCACAATGCCCCTGCTGACCCCCAGGCTGGCAGTGATCAGGGAGTATGAGACACAGGATGGAGACAGCAGGTACGGAAGGGAAGAGAGGGGAGGCCTGACCAAGGCAGGAGGAAAGGTAGGAACATGAGGCATAGCCGCTGCTGGAGGTGGTGGAGGTGCATTGTGGGTGAGAGCGTCGTCAGAAGCAGAAGGGACCAGGCAGCCTGGAGAATGTAGAGAGAAAGCAGGAAACAGAACAGGAAGGAGGGGAAAAAAAAGAAACAGAACAAAATGAACCAAATGAGAAGCTGAAAAGAGATAATGATGAGATGAAATGAAAAACACTAAACAGAAAAGGAGTGTCTGGACTCACAGCATTGGGCAAAGTGGATGGAGTTAAATGCTAGTTAGTACAAACTGATCAAAGCAACTGCCTTGTTATGGCAACAGTTATATCACATATTCTAGCTATTAGTAACAATGATGTGTGAGTTATCTAATCTAAATATAACAAGACCAAGGGTCAGACTCACGATTCTAATATCATCCACATCAACACTTACCTGCATCTGTACTTTCATTGCCCACAGGAGTACTGGAGCAGCTGCGGTCAGGGTTGGAGGACTCAGACGACATCCCACCAGGACTGCCCAAACCAGTGTAGTCCATGCATTCATCAGTCTCTGTGTCCATCATGTTCTGAGCTGTGGTTTGAAACAATGATGGATTTTCTGTGGAGTTAGGACTTGGGGCTGTGCTGCCACTCATTGAAGTTTGTGAAACCAACTGGGGAAAAAAGAAAACAAGCCGATCAGAGGCTGCCATCATAGTTACATAGCTAGTCTGGCTGAAAAAAAGACAAAAGTCCATCCAGTTCAACCATAAACAATAAAAAAAAGTATAATCCCATACTCACAGTTGAGCCAGAGGAAGGTAAAAAAAAAAAAAAAAAAGCAAAGCATGATCCAATTTGCTCCTGCAGGGAAAAAAATTCCTTCCTTATCCCCTGAGAGGCAATCGGATATTCCCTGGATCAACGTTACCTATAGATAGTAGCCATTTATATTCTGTGTATCCAAGAAAGTATCCAGGCCTTTTTTAAAGCAATCCACTGAGCTGGCCAGAACCAACTCTTGAGGGAGTTTATTCCACACTTTCACAGCTTTCACCGTGAAGAAACCTTTCCGTGTTTGGAGATTAAATTTCTTTTCCTCCAGACGTAAAGAGTGCCCCCTTGTCCTCTGTGATGACCTCAGGATGAATAACTCTACACCGAGTTCACTATATGAACCACTGATGTATTTATACATGGAGATCATATCCCCCCTTATGTATTATACATGGAGATCATATCCCCCCCTTATGTATTATACATGGAGATCATATCCCCCCCTTATGTATTATACATGGAGATCATATCCCCCCTTATGTATTATACATGGAGATCATATCCCCCTTATGTATTATACATGGAGATCATATCCCCCCTTATGTATTATACATGGAGATCATATCCCCCCTTATGTATTATACATGGTGATCATATCCCCCCTTATGTATTATACATGGTGATCATATCCCCCCTTATGTATTCTACATGGAGATCATATCCCCCCTTATGTATTATACATGGAGATCATATCCCCCCTTATGTATTATACATGGAGATCATATCCCCCTTATGTATTATACATGGTGATCATATCCCCCCTTATGTATTATACATGGAGATCATATCCCCCCCTTATGTATTATACATGGTGATCATATCCCCCCTTATGTATTATACATTGTTGATCATATCCCCCCTTATGTATTATACATGGTGATCATATCCCCCCCTTATGTATTATACATGGAGATCATATCCCCCCCCTTATGTATTATACATGGAGATCATATCCCCCCTTATGTATTATACATGGAGATCATATCCCCCCTTATGTATTATACATGGAGATCATACCCCCCCTTATGTATTATATACATGGAGATCATACCCCCCCTTATGTATTTATACATGGAGATCATATCCCCCCTTATGTATTTATACATGGAGATCATATCCCCCCTTATGTATTATACATGGAGATCATATCCCCCCTTATGTATTATACATGGAGATCATATCCCCCCTTATGTATTATACATGGAGATCATATCCCCCCTTATGTATTATACATGGAGATCATATCCCCCCTTATGTATTATACATGGAGATCATACCCCCCCCTTATGTATTTATACATGGAGATCATATACCCCCCTTATGTATTATACATGGAGATCATATCCCCCCTTATGTATTATACATGGAGATCATATCCCCCTTATGTATTATACATGGAGATCATATCCCCCCTTATGTATTATACATGGAGATCATATCCCCCCTTATGTATTATACATGGAGATCATATCCCACCCCTTATGTATTATACATGGAGATCATATCCCCCCCCTTATGTATTATACATGGAGATCATATCCCCCCCTTATGTATTATACATGGAGATCATATCCCCCCTTATGTATTATACATGGAGATCATATCCCCCCTTATGTATTACACATGGAGATCATATCCCCCCTTATGTATTATACATGGAGATCATATCCCCCTTATGTATTATACATGGAGATCATATCCCCCCTTATGTATTATACATGGAGATCATATCCCCCTTATGTATTATACATGGAGATCATATCCCCCCCTTATGTATTATACATGGAGATCATATCCCCCTTATGTATTATACGTGGAGATCATATCCCCCCTTATGTATTATACGTGGAGATCATATCCCCCCCTTATGTATTATACATGGAGATCATATCCCCCCCCCTTATGTATTACACATGGAGATCATATCCCCCCTTATGTATTACACATGGAGATCATATCCCCCCTTATGTATTACACATGGAGATCATATCCCCCCTTATGTATTACACATGGAGATCATATATCCCCCTTATGTATTAACATGGAGATCATATCCCCCCTTATGTATTATACTGGAGATCATATCCCCCCTTATGTATTATACATGGAGATCATATCCCCCCTTATGTATTATACATGGAGATCATATCCCCCCTTATGTATTATACGTGGAGATCATATCCCCCCTTATGTATTATACATGGAGATCATATCCCCCCTTATGTATTATACATGGAGATCATATCCCCCCTTATGTATTATACATGGAGATCATATCCCCCTTATGTATTATACATGGAGATCATATCCCCCCCCCTTATGTATTTATACATGGTGATCATATCCCCCCTTATGTATTATACATGGAGATCATATCCCCCTTATGTATTATACATGGTGATCATATCCCCCCCCCCTTATGTATTATACATGGAGATCATATCCCCCCTTATGTATTATACATGGAGATCATATCCCCCCTTATGTATCATACATGGAGATCATATCCCCCCTTATGTATTATACATGGAGATCATATTCCCCCCTTATGTATATACATGGAGATCATATCCCCTCTTTCATGTAATACTCCTGGAGATTCATATCCAATCATAATGAAAGAGAAATTCAGCTCCTCTAAATGGGCTCTTTCTTTCCTCATTAGCTGAGCTCCTCCATGCCTCTCATGTGTGTTGCTGAGTTTGAAAAGCAATTCCACCTTAGCCCTGGTTCACTCTGATACAGCGTTTTTCAGTGCGAATTCCGCACCGCATTAGAATTGCAACCCCGTTCATGCGAACCACTGCGGGTGTGTAATGTTAACACCCCAACAGCGGTCCACAAAACGCGGTGCGATGTGAAGAATCAGATCACATAAGTGTGAATACCCATGCAATCCGATTCTAGTGCAGCCCCAAAAAAAGGGTCCTGTACGTTTTTGGTGCGGGTGCGGTGCGATTAGAGCCATACATAATGTATGGCCACGATCGCAACGCACACACATTGCATGTGATTTGCAAAGGGGTGCGATTCCTGTGCGAATCACATGTGATATACCACACCACATATATGTGAACCCAGGTTTACACCTAAAAAATGAAGATAAATTCCCAACACTTCCCCACTCCTCTGGACCCCCCTGCACCTACGTGCTGTGCCAAGAATCACTGGATGTCTATACACTTTAAAACACTGTACACAGCCCCCTCCAGCAGCGTAATGCCAGCAATGGCTTGCGGTCATTGGTCAACGCTTTAATGTGACCAAACTGACAAATGGGAGTCTCTTCTTCTGTCCTGTTCAGTACTATCATGTGACCATGCTGACCGATGACTACAAACTATTGCCGGAATTCTGCTGCTACACAGCCATGGGGGCTTAAAAATTGGTACAACCAGCTGACATGGACAGTGGATGATTCTTGGCACAGCAGATTAAAGTGGAATTTATCTCTCCCAATCATCTTTGACGGTTTAATCCCTATGCTGGTAGCATTGGCAAATAGATAGGAAATTATCTCATATTTACCTAAACTTTTTTTTTTTTTTTTTACATTTCTTCAGTTACTTCTTGGTTTCCAGGCCTAGGCCAAAATGATGTCATACATCCCAGGAGTCTTCAGAAGGGGAGGAGGGGTTACTCAGCTAAACACACCCTTCTGCCTGCATGTCTGAGCTGATGCTACATGAATCATTTGCCCTTACTCAAGATGGCCATGGCCAGAAATGCTAATATCTCATATTTAACTAAACTTTTTCTTTTTTTTTACATTTCTTTAGTTATTTCTTGGTTTCCAGACCTAGGCCAAAATGATGTCATACATCCCAGGAGTCTTCAGAAGGGGAGGAGGGGTTTACTCCGCTAAACACACTCTCCTGCCTGCATGTCTGAGCTGATTGTACATGAATCATTTGCCCTTACTCAAGATGGCCATGGCCAGAAAAGCTCCAGGGGTGTTTTTCAAAGTGTTTTCTCAGCAAAATAAACCATGGAGACATGGATGGGTGGGTGAGTATGCTGTGAATATTAAAAATGAATTAAACAGCATTTGTGGTGCTCGGATGCAATGTAGTTCTGTTTTTAAGTGCAGTGGAGAGGGTGTTGGGAATTCATTTTTATTATTTAGGTATAGAGGTGAAATTACCCTTTAATGCAGGAAGTACGGATTGAAAATTTCTTCTATCCCGTCTAGGCAATATGTGTCTCACACCTCTGTTTTTTATTTACCTGTCCAGGTACACGGTCAAAGTTCTTTCCCAGCATCCTCCTCATGTGTTTACGGGCATGTGATGTCATTTGATGTTTTAGTAGGAAAGAAAACTGACAGCCCCTCCCGAATGCAGTGAAAATGACTGTTCACCTGATTGTATTTGCATCCTGGAAGACAAAACACAGAGGAAACGTTATAAATAATTTAGTACGTATCACTCAATCAGTTACAAAGTCATATGAAATGTTTGATTATAACTTACTCAGCCCAAGTTTTTCTTCCTAGGTCTCCTATGTATATAACTATTACTTTTGCTGCTTCCCCCCACCCTGCTAGCAATAAGATCTTATGATTTAAAGTATGTAAAGCCAAAATGTTCCCGATTAGAAGGCAAAATGATTATCGTGTCAGAAGTTTGAGGTATAATGCTATGCCAGAATCTGTGTGTTTTGATCAATTTAAATCCACCATGTATTTGATTTTAGTTTATCAAATTCTGTTTTTTAAAAGTTTAATTAGATTTTTCTTTTTTGTTATGTGTTGGGCACATTTTTAAGATGGACCTTTACCCTGTTTGGGTGCGTTAAATTTTTTCTTCCTACCTGCCTCCTGTTTCACAATGAAAGAAATTCTTTTATACCTTTTTGGAAGGTCCTGGCCAGTGCTTTTTGGTTTCTTGCTTAGGCAAGAATGATGCCCCCCCCCCCCCCAGTTCCTGAAGCATCCTGGGATAATCATGTAACTTATCCCAGTAGGTTTCGGGACAATTATATTTATTTATTTCAGGTACTTATATAGCGCCGTCAATTTACGCAGCGCTTTACATATATATTGTACATTCACATCAGTCCCTAACCCTCAAGGGGTGTACAATCTAAGGTCCCTAACTCACATTCATACATACAAGGTCCAATTTAGACAGTATCCAATTAACCTGCAAGCATGTCTTTGGAGTGTAGGAGGAACCCGGAGTACCTGGAGGAAACCCACGCAGGCACAGGGAGAACATGCAAACTCCAGGCAGGAGGTGCCGTGGTTGGGATTCGAACCAACGACCCTAGTACTGCCAGGCGGACGTGCTAACCATTTAGCCACTGTGCTGCCCATTTCAATACCGAAATGACGCGTTGCCAGGCGCCTTTCTTTGCTGTTTTATTTGTAAATTTACTAAAATGTGTATACTTTTTCAAATGGCACACTGTGCATGCGCCGGGCAATCTTGGGCATGTTGCACATGGACAGCAGCACATCAATAGGGGGGACAAGAACCTGGAAGAGACACTTGATGAGGCCCCCTGATGGTGTCAGTGTTGAAAATGGTGGCATGGGTCCCAGCACGTGTTTTTTTTTTTTTTTTTTGTTATATAGGATGACCAATGTACAGGTGGGGGACACACAAAGTGGAGAGTGAAGTATATCTTATATAAGTGTCAACATACAATGTAATGGGGCCCTTAATGTGGCCCACACATTATGTTTCAAATGTATTGCTAGAGAGGATTGTCAGAGCCTGCAGACATACTAGAGGAGATGATGGTCAGATATGGAGAATTTACTACAGGTTTGGATGAAGACTAAAAAAAATACTACCGAAGACAGCGTGAGACCGGAGACATAAGACTAGTGGAGTTCCTGCTATTGTAAATCAATATTCCACCCCAACTACAGACTGCTTGGGTCCAAGAGCTGCACAACAAGTACTAAAGAGACCCACCTGGCTATACTTAGACAAAGAAAGTTAGGGCCTCATTCACTAGGACATTGAGGTGCAGGATCTGGTGTAATAATTCCTATGGTCAGGTAGCGTTTACAGTTGCACATAGAGGTGAATTGCTGTTCCTGCTTGTATTTCAGGGCAGTATGTAGCCATAATTAGATATGGGATATTAACCACTTCCAGTCCGGACACTTTCACTCCCTTCCTGCCCAGGCCAATTTTCAGCTTTCAGTGCTATCACACTTTGAATGACAACTGCGCGGTCATGCAACACTGTACCCATATGAATTTTTAGCATTTTTTTGAGACAGATAAAGCTTTATTTTGGTGGTATTTATTCACCACTGGGATTTTTATTTTTTTTGCTATGTAAATTAAAAAGTCCAAAAATTTTGTAAAAAAAAAGTGTTTTTCTTATAAAATTTTGGATCATAAATCTTAGCCAAAATTTATTCCGTTATATTTTTAGTAAAAAAAATAAATAACCCAAATTAGTTTATAACCAAAATTATAATTTTTAAACAACATTTTTTTACATTTTTTAAAATATTTTTTTTTATTTATTTATTTTTTACATACTGTCACCCTAGCAGTATAGTGTCACCATAGTGACACTGTACTACTTGTGGGGGCTGATGAAGATTTTTTTTTTATTACACTGATTGCTTTTACACCCATAAAGGCTGTAAAAGCAATCATTTCTCTTTCTCTCTGTCTGCATTCTTGCAGCCATTGAGAACTACTGAGTGAGCTGTGATTGATCACAGCTTGTCACATGGTACAAGGCTGTTGTGAATAGCCTCGTACCATGTGACCTCTGTGATCATTCACAGATTTCACACGTAGTAAGCAATGATGTCACAAGTGGCCAATCAGTGATCACATGATCGGGACCTCGTACAGAGGTCCCGTCCGATGATCGGTGTTCCACTGTGTCCAGAGGATACAGCGGGCATCGGATTGTGGTGCTGCGCGCTCCGAGGGAGCGCGCACAAGCAGGGTGCGGGGAGGCCGTTTATAAACGGCCACCCAACCCTGCACTGCCACCGTCTGGCCGTTTATATACAACGGCCGGACGGGAGGTGGTTAACCCTTTGAGGACCAAGGGACGTATTTGTCCCATGTTTGTAATTGCATGTATCATCTGATTAAGAACTTAAAACTTTTTTTTTTTTTTTTTGGTTTGAGTCAAAATATTAGTTCTTATCAACAAACAACAAATGGATCTAGCTTTTTGCCAATTATTTCATGAAATGGCTTAGTTACAGCAACTGAAGTGTACGAACTTTAAAAAAAACAAATTGATTCTTTTGTCGTTCCAAAACCTTACGGTCCTCAAAGGGTTAAGGACTTATTCACATGGATGTTTGGAGGTGGGTCCGACGCAAAAAAAAATCAGTTTTTTTTGATGGGTGGTGCCGCCCATGGAAGTGCATGGCTGTTTGTGCTTGTACTTGTGTAAACTAATACCAAGGGATCGCATGGGGCCATTCTTGGATATAGAACATTGCCTGAAGATTGAGGTACCTGGGTCATACAGTCATCAGTATAGGAAAGGCTAACAATTGGTAGGTCTAAACTGAAATTGCTTTCTCTAATATGTTCTGTTCTCTCAGCATTTCACACATTCTAGTATATATGAGCTTTGTAGATCTTTCTTGCAATTTGTGACCGTTGCTTCTCCAGCAACCAGAATAAACAGATGGATGGTACGGCAGGTGAGGACTTGTAGTCACCATGGCAGCATTACCTGGCTTTGTATGCTGGCCTGGCACCTGTAACTTGCAAAGGTGAGCAAATAAGAGAAAGAGCTTTTTTTTTTTTTTTTTTTTTTCCTTCTGACATCTGTAAGAGGACACGGGACTGGCTTGTGTATGTTGATGCTGATCACCCTGGTTACTGCAAGCCACTATTAACCCAGGACATGAATTCTTTATGAGTTAACAGGGTGAGGTCTTCTGTTTTGTTTGTATGCAAAGGTTTTGGTTATACAAGAAAGTCTGATGAAGGGACACTATCTAAAAAAATGTTAATCTACGCTCCTTTACTTTGTTTACCCTGTTTAAGTGTCTACATTGTCTATTTAAGAAGTGTCTCATTACCAATCATGATTAACCACTTGCTCAGGAGGCAATTTAAAACATTTTTCACACATGTTAAAATCTCTGTTTTTTTTTTTAACCACAGCGGAACCGGTACAATGCATTAAAAGTGATTGGGTGGTTCTACAGCCACCAGGATCACTTTTACTAAAAAGCTGGTCACCATCTAAAAAAAAAAAAGAATTTATGCCAAGCTCAGGGCTGCTTTTTTGAGGGGACCTCTTGAATTTCAGGCCGTTAATAAGCAGCCTATGGAGTTAAACCATGTATATTTTTCACTCTTCTCTAATGGTTAACATTGCCATTGTAAAAGATTATATTGAGTACTGTCCGTGATACTTTTTTTTTATTTGCACTAACATACAATTTTGAGGACAAGCTTTCGGGGTATGTCCCCTTCTTCAAAGTCCAAACAGTACTGCTTGGACTTTGAAGAAGGGGACATACCCCGAAAGCTTGTCCTCAAAATTGTATCTTAGTGCAAATAAAAAAAGTATCCCGGACAGTACTCAATTGTTTCTGTCGCAAATGCACTAATACGGCTACAATCACCTCAAGTAAAAGATTATATTAAATGTATGACTTATGAATAGGAGATGCCTTTATTTTCACTTTGGAAAGCATTAGAGGTCTGTCAGAAGTAGACTGTACATACCCAATCTTCCACATTCTTCTCGTTTAGTGAAGTACTTGAAGCCATTTGCTGCTCTTCGTTCAGCCTTCTCGTGTTTTTTTCACATGCCACGGCAGCTTGGTAGTGATGTTGGTGACAAAGTAGCAGTTGGGCCGTAGACAGTGGTAGTGTCCACGCATTCTAAACTCGCAGTGCTGCAGGTACATAGGAAAAAACAAAAAACTGTCAGACAATGACATGGAGCATTTTTGGATATACAACGCATACTAGGGGGGATTTACTAAAACTGGTGCACTCAGAATTTGGTGCAGTCAGCTTCTAAATTCAGCTTGTTCAATGAAGCTTTGACAATAAAAGCTGGAAGCTGATTGGTTTTTATTGCAGAGTTGCACCAGATTTTGCACTCTCCAGTTTTAGTAAATAACCCCCATTTGGTGGAATACGATAACCTAAGAACATCGTCCTCCCCATTAACATGGCCTGTACGTAACGCCAGCTGTGCGCTAGTTTTGGTGCCATTATTGACACTTGCGCCAGAATCGGGTAGTTCTTACTACGGCCACATTCAGAATCTACTGCTGTGGCTGCAACAGATTCTAATAAAATAACCATCAGTTCACAGATCAGCAAAATGGCAGTAATGGAGACCATCTTTGAGTTGACGCAGAGAGAGATGTCAGAGTTGTACATATGTGATAGGAAGCTGTTAATGTGATGGCTTCCCGCATAGGGCTCATGGTCCCTTCTGATGGCTTCCCGCATAGGGCTCATGGTCCCTTCTGATGGCTTCCCGCATAGGGCTCATGGTCCCTTCTGATGGCTTCCCGCATAGGGATCATGGTCCCTTCTGAGGGCTTCCCGCATAGGGCTCATGGTCCCTTCTGATGGCTTCCCGTAGGGCTCATGGTAGGGCTCATGGTCCCTTCTGACGGCTTCCCGCGTAGGGCTCATGGTCCCTTCTGACGGCTCATTCCTTCGCGTAGGGCTCATCATCCCTTCTGACGGCTTCCCGCATAGGGCTCATGGTCCCTGGGATGCCAGTAGCCATCCCGTAGGGCTCATGGTCCTTCTCTGATGGCTTGTCTTTGGCCAAATTCAGCTGCCAGCCAAAATCCCTTCTGATTCCCTGGCAAAAGAACCTGGCCCGAATGTAAACAAAGAGGCGGAGATGCTGGTGACATCATTGTCCAAATATGTAAACTTCCAAATCTATATATCCTTGTCTTATTTTTAGTTATCAGGTATATGATTGGATGTTGGCAGCTTATATAGATCTCTATAGTTTAGGTTTAGAAGCGCAGGAGGTTCATATATTATAATTGTCCAAATATGGTGATGGTAATCTTTGGGAAATCCCAATGGGCACCCCGGAACCAGACGGAGTGCATTTTCTTTAGACCCCCCCCCCCCCCCCCGACTCAGAAAAACTCATCACCAAAGCTGTGAGAGTAAACAATGGTTGCACTTGGCATTGTTACCCCAATAGGGGCTCACACGTACATGCGGTTATACTGCCGTCTCTCCTAAAAGCGATCCACAGTAGAGCACTTTTCAGAAGGCATTTTGAAAAGGCATTGCCTGCTGTAACCCTCAAAATACCAACCCACTTCACAAATTCACTTGATTGGGTCATATTCTGCTGTGGTACAGCCTGTCAAATGCAACATGTTATTTAACTTTTGCCACTGCAAATCATCAAGGCGGTGGCATGGTACAGCCCTGAGTGACTGCATTGTCGTGTTTTGGGTGGTAGTATAGAGCTAAAAACTGTGGTTCAACCGCTTGCTTTTACTGCCCCCCCCCCCCCCCCCCCCCCCCCCCCGCTACTCCTGTGAACAAGCCTTAAAAGAGGTTTTCTGAATAATTCAAAATGGTAGAAAATTTTGAAAATCTATGCAATATAAAAAAGATTCCATGCTTCTAACAATTGTCTGCTTTGGTTAGCGGGACTTTTCTGCAATTCCACATTGAGATTGCTTGTTGCAGGTTTTGTCACTTACCTGGTTGGGGCACAGGCACTGCAGGGAATAGTATGCAAACTGGTCCCGCACATTCACCAGACTATTATTGGGGTTGATGTGGTCAAGGCAATGGGACTCTGCTTTACCCGACGTTTTACACACATACTTGCAGTTTCCAAACAGACAATGGAAATGGAACTTGTTTGCATATTTGCAGTCAGTTGCCAGGCATGGATCGCTGTGGAAACAAAAGTTTAGAAAGAAACGGGTGATAAGTAGCAAAGTGAAATAACATGTCATATTCATATGTCTATACAAAACAATATCGTTTTTGAAAAGTTTTTGGTCTAATTTTAACTTTTTTTTTTTTTTTTTAGTAGCAATAGCTAAAGATGACCTTTCAATCACAGCATGAATACATTTCTGACATGTGCAATATACAGAAACTGTATATAAAAAAAAAGCTGTTTTATCATTAAAAGCCACCCTTAATCCCCAGGCAAGTACCTTTGCCTAGGCAGAGGTAATATCATCAGTCTGTTGCAGGTAGGAGGAAGCATTTCCTCAGTCTCCCCTCCTGAAGTGATTAGGCCACAGGATTTTAGCTTTGTAGCAAGCCAAAAGGTGAGAACTATAGAATTGCACAGGCACCAGGATTTATGGTGAATGAGGAAAGAACAAACGGGGCGCACAGGACTAGTGCATTACCATAAAAAATGTTTAATAAGAAATAAAGTAGGTGTTGTACTCACAAATGACAATAAAGTCAAGGCACATCATAAAGAACAGCTGGGTCAACACCGCGCTGGGTAACAGTCCACAATAGGGAGTGTAGACATCCAATAGGTTGACGCATTTCGAGGACTTGCCTCTAGGGCTCTGAGGAAGAGGCAAGTCCATGAAACGCGTCAGCCTATTGGATGTCTACACTCCCTATTGTGGACTGTTACCAGCGCGGTGTTGACCCAGCTGTTCTTTTATGATGTGCCTTGACTTTATGGTCGTTTGTGAGTACAACATCTACTTTATTTCTTATTAAACATTTTTTATGGTAATGTCCTAGGCCTGTGCGCCCTCTGTTTGTTCTTTCCTCATTCAGTATATTTGGATTTCCCCGGTCCATTTGAGGGCAGCAAGGTGTGCATGTTCCAGGACATTCTTAATGTGGTTGTAGCCTACATCGAGTCCATCCCCAAGCGCAGGAGTATTTGTGTTTGCTGGTACCAGGATTTATGGTATATGACTGCGTCCTTGCGACATCTAAATCGACATCTTAAGGCAGCCATACATGGATTGAAATACGGCCATTTCAGCAGGAATAGCATTTCGATCCATGTATGAGCGCAAGCTGGTTATACACAAGTTAATTTACTGATCAACATCTGTACAACCAGTCTGTCGAGTTTTTTCTGATTAATCAGTACCACAGGCTATAGCCAGCAGCACTGATCTGTGTATTCTGACAGCAGGGAAGGCTCCCCACTGTCAAAATACATTCAAACAGCGGGAAGAAATCTCTATAGAGTTTTTGGATAGGGGGAATCGGGTCATTTATTTTTTCGTTCAAAATGAATCCTGTTGGTCAGCATCTAGGAAGTAGACAATGACCCTGGATGGTGGCTAAACAAAGATGGCTCCATCTATCTGGAGAAAAAAAGCAGAAGAACGTATTTTTCAGGTGGTTCTCTGACATCTGCAATGCTAAAAAACATTAGCTTTCATACTTCCACATTACTTAGCATGCATACACTTTGAAAAAATTTACCTAATGCCAAGTCCTCAGAAAAGCCCATTTCCAAAGAAAGGGAAAGTACTCCCTTGCAGTGGGACTGCCTGGAAACTGAAAGGGTTCAATGCTTGTTAAGGTCTAGGGGAACAGCAGGTTTCCTTGCCAGATCCTCTGCTCCACTGGCAGCCAGCGATCTCCTATACTCCCCCACACTCTGGCAGTGGACTGTTCTTGGTGTACTCATGTCCACTTTAGGGCTATGGGCTTAGCATTGGACTTAATGACATCGGAGGGCCTGCAACCGTCAGAACAGAGGGGAGAAAATGCTGCAGGGAACAGTTCTACCATGCAGGGAGAACTCGCCGGTAGGTAGAACTGCTTTTTTGTGCCCCAGACCTAAATTAGCATTGAACCCTTACAGTGCAGGGACAGTCTTACTACAGGGGAGCATTTTGCTTTTCCTGGGGTTCAGCTTGAAGAGCTTCAATGTCTTTATTTGTTTTTCAGAACTATATCGTGTAACTGAGGTAAAGGAGGGACTTACTTCTCCTGGAACTGCAGAAATCCTGGCTTGACCTGAGGCTTCGCATTCTCCAGAGATGTTGTTGCCATGGGGGATGAAGCTAAACTGGGTACTGAGGTGGGTATCTGGGGGATCTGTGGGATGGACGATGCCAGCTGCTTCCAGGCCAGAAGAGTTGGAGTGGATGGAACCGCAGCAAGACAAGGAGCTGGAACCTCACAACCAGGCGCCATATTTGAGGTTAAGGTGGGTGATGTCGGCATAGGGGAGATCTTTGAGTCTGAGGAATAAGGTATTTCTGAGCTACCTTTTGAGGTTCCTACATCATTTCGCAGGTGAAAGCTGTAATTAGACCCAAGAGGAGAAAACAGAATCAGAGGAGGGAAAGGCAGAGGTTCCTCAAAGTATTCTGAGATTTCCTATGCATTGAGGGTGTCTCTTCAATTTAGTTACTTACTTGGCATGTTTTATGGCTCCATCAAAGGTACTGAAAAGTGCTCCACATTCCTCTACAACACAGTGGAAATGAAGTTTATGAAGAAAGTCACAATGATGGTCACACACATCTGCAGGACCAAACCTAAAAATGTGAAACAATTAGACATTTGGCCTCATCAAATTCCAATTTCTCAATGTTATATACTGTACGCATGCACTGCCTGATACCTGCGTAGATATGTCTTCCAGGGTTCAGTATGCTTTTCACCATCAAGGGCCTTCATCACTTTCCCCAGATAATGGGTGGACTCTCCTGCCCCAGAATCACTACTGTCTGCATCTGTTTTCAGGCTTAACAAGCTGCCTGTGTTGGAAATGGAGTGCTGGATCTAAAAAGACATGACGTGGTAAGAGGGTGACGGGTGCTGAACCTCATCATGAACTAAGCTAAGTGGAGTATTTTAACCTACTGATCATACCAACCACTTCTTCACAGTCACCTACTGTAGTTTAATACACACTGATTTCAAGAATAGGTTCAACTTGCAGTAGTATGACAGTAAACGCCTAGAGTAACTTCATGTTCTTTAACCTCTATGCATGTTGTCAGACTTACCTTGCCCACAAGAGAACAATGTAGTTGTAAATCAGTTGGTATTTCTTGACCATTGGACTCATTACTGCAGAACCAAAAACAGAAATGACTTAATAAAGACATAACCTCTTAAATACATCCTACAACTACATAGAAATAGTGGCTGCCACTGGAATGCATAAAGAACCATTGAGTCTTATTCTGTGCACTGAAAATCTATATCCTTATGTTAGGTGTTGACAAATGATGTATTTAGCTAGTCCAGTACCTGAGAGGACAGCAGGTTGAAGATAAAGGGTGTGATGACAGGTTACACTCTATTCTTACCTGTTTATACTCAGGTCCAGGCTCTGCTCCTGAGAGCTACTTTGGGGCGTTGTTCCTTCTGTATCGGGAGCCTCTGGCTTAATCCGTCCTAATACTTGCCCATTGCCTGTGCCAAGATAATATTGAGACAGTATGAGAAAAATAGGTGCAGTCACTGGCCAATATTTAAAGTGCAAATAAGGCCTCCATGTCTGCATCTCACATTTTATATGCAACGACTTAACATGCTACAGTATAACTTCATATCATATTGCCCACCACCACAGTGTTTGCAATATATCATTTTAACACTTCCCAACAGGAGGTGACTAACAAAACTACAGCTCCCAACATTCATTTTGATTTTTTTTCCCAAAGCAGGAAGTCTTTGTGGCCATTGCAGCTCCAAGGAAAGAGACTGGTGGATTTGGGCTTTGCTAGGCAGGTTCACGTGTCCTGGGTGGGTTTGGAAAGATAGGTGGTGATGATTATCAGGTAATGGATGTGCATCTCTATAGGACTGCACCACGTGACCGCATTATGTCATCACATCATGCTGTAGTCCAGGACAACACAATGGACGCAAAAGGGGTGAAACAGAGATTTGGGGAGGCGAAAGTGTAGACACCAGTGTAGACTTGTAGTGAAAGTGTAGACACCACTTTGGAGGAAGTGAAAAAAGCAGCCTTCAACTATAATGTTAAGAGGTAAAATTTGTCACTTTGCAATTATTGTTAAATGAGTGAAAAGAGACAAGCCAGTGCTGTTGCATTTTTTTTTTTATGTTGCTGAGCCTTTAGTTTTACTTTAAGTAGAGGCATTAGAATAACACAGTAATAGTACAATAAATAGCATGGGTGACACCCAGTTCATAAAATCACTAAAGGCAAAATACTAAATCCTAACACCTCCCCTCCCCACTCTTAGTTCATTCTGGCTAGGACAAACATCCCTGCAATTTGCAAAGTAAAGAACACAAGAGTCATATTGTTTAGCACATAAACTCACCTGCTTCAGGTGATGGAGACTGTTTGATGGCGGCTGCTGCCAGCCTTGCCATCATAGGAGAGATTAGCCCTTTACTGGCAGAAATCTTTTCCATAATGGATGTAGCAGCTGGCGAAGTGCTATTTTGATCGCTGGCCCCAGAAGCAGACTGTGGAGAAGTGTCAGGGGCAGCCACGGGCACTATGTTACTGGTGCTGATGGGAATTGAGGTGCCACCACGTCCACTTATGATAGGGAAATATGGCCCCGATCCTACAGGGAGCGTAGTACTAGATAAGGCTAAAGCCAAGGGCATATTAGTCGGCAATGTCTGGGACAAAAGGGTTGACATCTTGGTTGTAGGTGGAATGGTGCTGGTGGATTTCAGTGTTTGTGGAGAAGGTGCCTCAGAAACAGTAGGAACCAGGGATACGGAAGACTGCTGACTTGTGGGAGAGGCACTCAGACTAGAGTTCTTGCTACTCAAAGCAGAAAAGTCAATGAGATCATCGTTGCTAGACTCCTCCATGTCATTGTCCTTTCCCCCCATAAGGGAAGATGCAAGGCCAAGCACCCCCGAGCTGCGGATGTGTCGCCTCTCATGTTTGCGCTTGTGTGAGGTCATCTGGCTGGTGGAGGTGAACGTGAAACCACATCCAGTGCGAATGCAGTGAAAATGATTGGTGGCCTTGCTGTACACACATCCTTCGTATTTGCACTCTTCATATTTGTAGAACTTCTTGAATCCGTCCTTTGCATATGCATCATCTTTAATGTGGTAGCTCTTGTGCTTCTCTATGTCACACTTGTTTTTGAAAGTGAAGCTGCATCCTGGACGCCTGAAAAATACACAGAATTGCATTTTTCTTGTATTATGGCCTTGTTTAAATAAAATGCTTAATAATCGCTTGCTTGCTATGCAACTGTCTACCTACAAGTAAAACCTGCACATTGTTGAATGTGCAAGTCTCAGTAAGAAGCATTTATGTCTCTGTCATGATTACCTGCAATGGAAGTGAGTAGTCTTTTGGCCATAGAACTGGCAGTCCACTGTACCACAGTCTTCAGTGGCTCGGAAGCGCTGAAAGCCATCGTTAATTAGCTGAGTATTCTTCTTATGGAAGTTTTCATGTGTCATTACATCTGAGGTGCTTGTGTAGACTTTGTTACATCCCACCTGAGGAAAAAAAAACACTAATCAACATAATACAAAAGTACGAGCAATGAAAAACCTGCAAGAAATTGAATTCATGTCATCATTCCTTTATAGAGTAGTGGTGCACCATTGTCAAGGAGCGAATGGCTGCCCCAGGTTGTCCAGGTAGATTTTTTTTTTTTTTTTTTTTGCCATCACCTTTGGAAAGGGGAGTTAAAAAAGACAAGCTATTGTTGCAGGTCCACAGAAAGCAGCCGAACGTGCACAAGAACGGTGTAAGCCCAAGTTCAAAGTCATCACATCACTAATGGAATGTTCAACTTGTCTTCCCTCTGGCATCCGTCTCCAGGCAAACTGGGCAACTTTGCCATATTGAGTAAAAAAAAAAGTACGGAATCTGAAAAATGCAGCAGCTGAGGGGGGAAACAGGAGCCAAGTGCCAGGGTCTGCACCATCTCACAAGTGAAAGGCATAAAAAAACAGCAGTACCTCCCGTGCCTTCCAGTGCTTTCTCCTGTTCTCTTAGCAGGTTGATGAGAACAGACAATAACAAAACCCTCTGACAAATACCCAAAACGAAAAAAAAAAAAATCTCCAGCTGTTTGCTGTACAAAAGCATACTCGCTGGTGACACCTTGAAAAAAAGCAGAACCTCGCCATGGGATCAGACAGAAAAAAAAGAATTAAACAAAAAGCTGCAGAGGAATAATTTGCAATGTGGCACTTGGTTCTAAAGCTTGAAAAATGTGGGCTTTATATAAACAAGGAACTGAAATTTATCCACACCAATTATGGACATAACCTAAGTGCGCCCTACACAAATCTTATTACTGGAGCTGGTTACACCTTTGGTTACAGTATGTAACACACACAAGCAAGATGTGCAGAGATCAACCGCATTGGATAGGTCCCTAAGAATTCAGTCATTGGCACAGATGAACTCATTTAAAACCAATTCACTCAACGTTCTGCATTTATATTGGATATATTGAATATTGGATAGCTCTGGTTAACAAAGCCTTGTCTCATTGTAATCTCCACTATTTGAACTGGCACAGTTTACAAAAATTGTAATATCTAGTTGCATCGGTTGAACTCTTACGCAGCGCCTCCATCTTTTTAATCCCATTTATATGCTTTTGGACTCACTGAAGGGGTTAAAGCTATGTTCCTACCTCTGCATTTTTAATTGCCATTTGGTGTGATTTTGATACCGAATAACATGCTGGGTTGGGGTAGCCAGCGAAAATTTTAATATCTAGCGTTTGACTCACTGAGGGGGTAAGGCTTACATTCCTACCTCTTCATTTTTCATTGCCATTTGGTGTGATTTTGATACCAAATAACATTCTGGGTTGGGGTAGCCAGCGAAAATTTTAATATCTAGCCTTTGACTCACTGAGGGGGTTAAGGCTTACATTCCTACCTCTTCATTTTTCATTGCCATGTGGTGTGCTTTTGATGTTTATGAACATGTTGGATTGGGGTAGCCAGCAAAAAGGAAGAAAGTGGGCTTAGGTACTGTATGTTTGCTTTGCTGCATCAGAAAAGTTTGTAAGAAAAATGTAGATTAAATAGCCAAGGATTTGGTGCAAAAAAGGAAATTACTATTACTATCATCTCACCACAGGTTTCCTTTAACGGGAAAGTATGATGTATTTCAATAAGCGTACATTTTGAGTTATTAGCGTTTATCTTAAAATAATTTTTGATGTAACTTTCATTAGTTTTTCATGCTTGCTTTGCCATTTTTTGTTGTATTATATGTGAATATTTATAGATTAGCCTTTACAATAACTTTGCCTCCCTTCTTACTAACTGAGACATCAGCAGTACAGGTAGCGCATTGTGTTCAATGAGTCAACTGACTAAAGCTGGCCATATATCAGTAGAAATTCCTCTGAAAGTACGGAGGTTCTGAAAAAATCGTTTGTCAGATCACTCCTTCTTGTCATCATTGTGTTAACTAAATGCAATTGAAAAGCCTTAAAAAAGAAGTATCTGTTAACTGAAAAAAAAAATATACCTAGGTGGATGAAGCATCAATCCCCCGTTGGTTCTGAGAACTAAGCGCTCAAACACCGCTGATCACTCAATTCCCAGTGTTTCATGAGCAGAGAGCTGGAGATTGTCAGCGGCTCTCTTCTGTGCCCTTTCAGTGCTCACAGGGGGCAAGAGCGGCTCGCTGAGAGGCTGAGCCAGCTGCCAGTCCAGGCTCCTACGTCGATCCCAACCATATGGTCAGAATCTTTTCAGAACCTGGGCTGGCTCTGCAACATTAGCCGACAGTGGGCTTTAGCCGGCTATAAGCTGAAAATGGGTCATAGGAGTGCACAATGAACTGCACTCCTGTGATCCCCATGAGAAGTAATGCCAAAAGAACTTTGGCTATACTTCTCCTTTAAAATCTGTCTCCTCCAATGGAATCCCAGATGTATTACCAGGTTTTTATTGCACCTAGAACATGTGTATTACAATATGTATGATCTTTCCCAGATAAAAAACACATTTACGGTTAGAATTTTGTTTATGCAAGATAAGTTTCCATCCTGTTTCTTTGATTTTCTATAAGGTAAAAAAAAAATTAAAAGATCAGCTATTTCAGTCTCCTATTCGAAAACCAAATATTTTGACCTAATTCTACTAGTGCATGGCCAGATTTTAGTTACATTTTTAAAAATGCAAATGGTAAGATGGCACCAAAAACTAGGGTACAAGAACAATAAAGAACCATATGAACACTAATGAACTAAAAATGGTGGTCAAAAGCTATGGATTGCCCCAACTGTTGTGGTGCTGCTGGACGAAAGCCCAAGGTGTGCTTGTAAACAAATATGAACCAATAAACACACAAGTGCTCTCAGATAGTGGAAGAATACCAAAGTTGCTCTTCTGCATACGCACATGGTGTAATCGTTGGTAATTTATATATGGCATTTGCCTTACCCTACCATTAGGAACTGGTGAGACTTCACTGATACCCAGTGGAAGACTATCTGAATGTGCTTGTGGTTTATATTTAGTTACATTTTTACGCACTACATATATTCCCTTCGTCATACAAAGCCAAAGGGAAAAACCTTTCCCTCCACAGCCTAAATGAGTTGACTTTTTTTTCCAGTCCCTAGATAGCAGCTGTGGAACTCTGTGCAAACAATCCACTTTGATTATTTTCACTTTAGCTTCATCTCCTTTCCCCATTGGGTGGAATTTACTTTTTTCAGTTAGGTGACCTGTTTAAGAACCAACTTCCCCTTCAAAAGACCACATTTCAGTTTTCACATCTGCTATCCAGGGATTGCTAGAGTGCTGTGATATGGGAAAGGAAGCAATAACATGCTTGCCGCAAACCTCTACGCATGGCCATTGCCAAGCTGGCCATTCACTGTGCAAATATTGTCTGGGTCCTGAACTGGCTGAAATTCGACCAGTGGGCGGCTTTGTTACCGCCCTCCCGCCCAACATACTTCAATTGAAAAACTGGAGGAGCCGAGCAGAAAATACTTGGCCAAACAGTGGCTGCATCTGATTGGACTCTCTGGGTATTTTGACAGCCTGCGGAGCCAGCCGTCCAAAATACAATAGCTTCAGCAGGAGATTTGCCCATCTGCACTGTATAGCATCTGTTAAACTATATCTCCTAGATTGTAAGCTCCAAAGAGCAGGGCCCTCGAACCCCTCATGTTTTGCATTGTATTGGTATTGTTCTGTCACATGTTCTGTCCCCCTTTGTAATGTACAGCGCTGAGCGAACCACTGGCGCTTTATAAATACTGTATAATAATAATAATATGTGTATGGCCAGCTTTAGATGGGAAAGCAAGAGGAATGGCATGGTTAATTAAATGAATTGATGTTACTGATACATACAGTATATATATGTCATTGTATTATAAAATGATTCTCAATAGTTCTCAGTGGCTGGATGTCACATGGAGCAATGACTAAAAGTAGGAAACACACCAATCTATATGGAAGACCAAAGATGAAAGTGAGTTAAAATTTCACATTCAGAGAGGACGGGATAGTTGTCATCTTGTGTAAAATATATAAAAGGTGTTGCCAGTGCATTTGGGCTAGATAGGACCTGCATGCAGCATCAAAGAGATGGGAGTTACCTGAGCAGTATGATGGTTAAGGGTGGGGTGTATTTGTATATATTGGATAATAAAGCAGGGAGCTGGCTTTATATGTATCAAACACATCCACTGTGTCGCTTACGTGTTTACAGTATACTTTAAAGATTTTGGGTCTGATTTAATTTCATGGCGGAAAAACGTGTTTTTTTATATTTATGGAGAAACAATTATTTTGCAAAGGAGTTCACTGAGTCAGGAAGCACTTTGGTGACCAATCCTAAGAAGAAATCATATTTATTCATTATTATTATTATTTTTTTTAAGATGGGGGGGGGTGGTGTAAATGAATTATTTTACTGTATTAAAAAAGGAGGAAATACTAGATAGAGATCATCCAGGTATTGCTTTCAGTTCCAGATCTGAGATGACTGAGATAAGACACTTCCATACCTAGTGATTCTAATTCGCAGAGAACTTACTGTGATACTCTCTGATTTTCCTTGTGTCAACAATAGGCTTACCCTGCACAAATATCAGGACACCACCATAGTGACTAATCTCTGCAGTGCTGGTATACTACATTATGTCCCAGACAAGCACATTGTAGGCATTTATGACATTTGGGAAAGACCTGAAGACAATCAACATTTTTTATGCATTCTTACAGATCAGGGGTCTCTAAACTTTTTCAGAGCCACATCAAATATTTTACAAAATATTCACAGGCCAAAAAAATGAATACATTTTAAATGAATAAATACATTTTACTTTGAGCTTTTTTTTCATAATCACCATAATATGATTTACCAACATCACAGAAATAACTGCAAATAGCAAATAAACCAGAGCCAATAATAAAGGTCACACACACAAAAAAATAAATCAGTCCCCACCTCTTTCATTAAATGTGAATCCCCATCAGAACTCTCCTTACATCAGGGCCCCCAGCAAAGTACCCCGTTACATCAGGGCCCCATCAAAGTACCCCATTACATCAGGGCCCCCATCAAAGTACCCCGTTACATCAGGGCCCCCATCAAAGTACCCCGTTACATCAGGGCCCCCACAAAGTACCCCGTTAGATTATGGCCCCCATCAAAGTACCCCGTTAGATTATGGCCCCCATCAAAGTACCCAGTTACATCAGGGCCCCCATCAAAGTACCCCCGTTATATCAGGGCCCCCATCAAAGTACCCCGTTACATCAGGGCCCCATCAAAGTACCCCATTAGATTATGGCCCCCATCAAGTACCCCGTTAGATTATGGCCCCCATCAAAGTACCCCGTTAGATTATGGCCCCCATCAAAGTATTTGGCCCCCCCCGTTAGATTATGGCCCCCATCAAGTACCCCGTTAGATTATGGCCCCCATCAAAGTACCCCGTTAGATTATGGCCCCCATCAAAGTACCCCGTTACATCAGGGCCTCCATCAAAGTACCCCGCTAGATTACAGCCCCCATCAAAGTACCCTGTTACATCAGGGCCCCCATCAAAGTACCCCCTTACATCAGGGCCCGCATCAGAGTCCCCCCTTACATCAAGGTCCCCATCAGAGCCCCCCCTTACATCAAGGTCCCCACCAGAATCCCTTTTTACATTAAGTTCCCACCAGAGTCACCCCTTACATCAGGATGCCCATTATAGTACCCCGTTATATCAATGTCCCCATTACAGCATCCCCTCACATAAGGTACCCCCTTACATCAAGGGTCCCCATCAGAGTACCCCCTTACATCAAGGTCACCACCAGAGTTCACCGTTACACAAGGGTGCCCCTTAGAGTCCCTCCTTACAGCAGGTCCTCATCAGAGTCCACCCCTACAGCATGGTGAGAGTTGGCAGCATGCCTGTAGCTGCAGGATGGGAGGCAGAGCAGGATCATCCTCCTGTGATTGTTGGGGCAACGACGTGATGACACACTGGCGGTGTCCTAGCAATCAATGACAGGGACAGCGCAGCAGGGGGGAACCTGTAGTGAACCTGACCTAAAGTGGGAGCACAGTGGGCCCACACTGAGGATGTGCCACTGACCCTAGCTGCAAGCTAGATAAAATATTGTAGCAGGCTGGATTTGGCCCACAGTGGCCCATAGTTTGCTGACCCCTGTTATAGACTAAATACTCACCTGCATGCAGTGGTAGTGTGTGCTTTTCCCATTTAGATGGCAGCCATGATAATAGACACTGCAATCATCTAATGGACTGAAACGCATGAAGCCGTGCTGCAGAGAGTTGTCGCGTTTTTTGTGCATGTTGTAATGGCGGATCACATCTTGCTTACTGGTAAATCTCTACGAAGGAAAATTATAAAGGAAGTTTTAATTATACAATATTGAGTCTAAACAGCAGAAATGCAAAGCATGCACTTCAAGGGGTTGGGATATTAAAGGATAGGTTCACCTTTGGGAACATATTCCATGTTCCACCAGTTTTTAGGGTGGATCATGTAATATGTTCCCACCACTGCAGCCGCTGCCCGATTCCCCTCCTCCCCCTCCCTGTGACAGCAGTACGGGGAGAAGTTCCCCATACTAGCTGTCAGTTTTTGAAAACAGCGTGGCCGTGCGGGGCTCTACCCACACGGCCACGTCATTCATTCACAGAGCTCGGTGAGTGAACTACAAGTCCCAGCAGCCTTAGCAGCTGTTGGCTTGTAGTTCTCAACTACCACAGCACTGTTTAGCGCTGTAGTAGTTCATTGAGTCTTCCTGTCAGTCTGTATCTGCCTACCCGTACGGGATGTATGGGCACACAGATACACTGACAGTTTGAAGGAGTCCTGCATGGCACCAGCGATCTGACAACTGCAAAAAAATAAAAATAAAAAAGGATATTTATTTATTTAATTTTTTCTATGTTAACTAATCCATTAAATGAGGGGTGATGTATAAAATCTGCAGCAAATGAAGTCAAGCTGTTGACTCTGGCAGCCAGTCCGATCTCCGCTTTCTCAATTTGGTAAAAGCTACATATGGTTTGGTTGCTACGTGCAACAACCTTTACTTCTGGTCCAGTTATCATAAATGACAGGTTAGGTGCACAGTATTAAAAACACGCTTACCTGGTAGTTACACTCCGGGTCCAGGCAGTGGTAGTGTTCCCGGTACTGATATGCACAGTGAATGTGACCGCAGTGTTGGCTGCCTGAAAATCTGTAAGGAGAGTCATATAGTTGTATGTCGTGACATAAAACCATTTACTGTCTTTCCTTCATAGGATCTTCTAGCAATAACTGAAAGGCTATTAAGCTGGTAAATATGTATTGTCCTATTATTTTCTTAGAAAACTGAAATTTTACATTAAAAGGATTATTTCTATAAGTTATATGTCAGTAGCTTGCAGATTTGTATCTATCTGAACCCCTTTTTATCTCTATCATCAATCCCACATCAGATGAGTGATGCTTTTCATTTTCTAAGATGTTCATGTGACCGTTTTCCTGGGATCCCAAATAGTTTACTATAGGTTTAATACCTCAAACGCATAGGGTTCAAGCCAAAATACAACAGTTTGAATGGTAAATCTCTAGAACCTAAAAAAAATGAATTCCAGGACCAGTTAAGGGGTTCCAATTAATGACTGGCATTCCCATGGATTAGGTAAGACAATTTCAAGGCCTTAGACAAAAAATGTATTCCCTGTATGGCCAACATATAGAACTATGTAGAAAAGCAAAATATTACACGTGGAACATGGTCAACAATGCCAACAGAAGTCTGAATTGTTCATCCTGTTCCAGGTTTGATCTACTGCAGTCACACAAGCAAAGGACCAAACCACATCAGCAACACTCATCTGTCTGCAGTCAGAACACACTTTCCAAGTTATAACTTTTTATTCTATTGCATCTCCATAAAAACAGGTTAGTATTGTTATTAGAGAAATATTGAACATAGATGTAAGGCACCTTGGCCTACAGATGGAAATAATCTGGCATACCAACCACACTCCTACCTGGCAATATATTTCTGGTATATATTTACATCTTCTGGGGGCTTGTCTGGGGGTAGTCCATTCCTGGTGAGAAAGACAAGGCAGAGCTGGTTAGAGTCAATTCAGCTCCCTATCCAGCTCCATCTCATGCCATGCTCCCGGATCTGGATATTAGTAACCCACATTCAAAATACATTAACCCACATTAATACAAAAAAAATGTAAGCCCTCCCACCCCTCCTCAGACTGCAATGTTCTCATCCACACATGCATAGACAGGCTCTATTAATCATATACCCAGATAAGTTCCCATTTTCATACAAACTTTCTAAATTTCCCTCCATTCAACCAACCAGATCCTCAGATATCTCACTGACTTGCTTCATCTGCCCCTGTGCATCGTTCACTGAGTTCCCCCAATAAGTATAACGATGCACATACTTTTACAGATAGTACTTAGGTTTACATTTTAGTTGATCTAGATATTATAAATAAAAAGTTACATTTGCTAATAGAATTAAATTATATGTGTAGAATCTCATCTAAACAGCAGCTGTATTTAAAGTGTACCCAAATTAGCACAGCCCAGTTTGAGTAGAGTCAAATGGCAAAGTACTTACTTCACAGTGGAGACTGTTCCTGTAGTGATGGAGTCTGTCTTAGAGAAGGTTGATTTGAGATATTCTGGAGTGTTGAAAGGCAACGCTACTGGTTGCTCAGATGCAGGCACAGGGGTGGAGGGAGTGCTTGTGATAGGAGCAGGGGACATACTTGGTACAACCGCAGCTGCTTTCAAGGGAGTAAGCTTTTGGATATTACGTACATCATACTTGGAAGGCCGCCCAACTTTCCCGGTTTTAAAAGCTATAGAGCCTCCCATGTCCTGGTTCCCTTCTCCTGGTTTAAAAAGGTGAAGATACTTGACATTCTCCAGGTCGTATTTGGAGGGTTTCTTGTATGTGTTTCCATTCTGTGGTCTCAAAGACTCTCCTGTTTTTAGCTTCTGGATAAAAAAGTCATATTTGGAAGCTCGAGACATAAGGCCTTGCATATGAGAGCTGCCAGCCGCTGATAGAGGCAAGACAGTTGCTTTCGGTTCTTGCAAAATGACTGCTTCATGTCCTGGTGCTCTGCTAACCAGTGGCTGTTGTGATGGCTGAAGAGTCGTTGAACTATCTTTGCTCTGTATGGGTTTGGAATTCGGTTCTTCAGCTTTTACAACATGAGCTGGCCAGGACAGATTCTCTCCAGCTTTTAGTTTCCGAATATACTCCTCATACTTGGAGAACCTAGCTCGCTTACTGAGAGGGTCTTCAGCAGAGGTGGTCTCTGAGGTAGCAGCATTGATCTTCTCATAGCTAAGTTTCTTTGCAAGCTCATCCCTTACATTAGGTTGGGTGTAGCCAAACATCCCAAGGAACTCACTCATAGTGTTGGCCGCATAATCTCGCAATGAGGATGTTTCTCCTGTGAATGAAAATGAGAAATATTCAGTATCACAAAGCGCACAGCTTGTTCTGTCCCTTTTCTACACATAATTCTGTCTCTCCCAAGGTTTTATGACTTTAGATTAATTTGTTAAAAAAAAGGTAATTAATACTGGAGTAAAATAAAAAGGAGTTCATCAATGGCAAGAAAATCAATTTCCTGAATGGTCTCAGAAATGGCTTTTAAGTACATTAAACAAAGTTTTCATATGTCTCTGCTCTCCTGGCTTGGCCTAATATGTACAAAAGTCATTCTGCTGGAAGTGGAGCCAAGTCCTCACTGTGTATGCAGAAACTGACGATTTATAAATATATACTTTTTAGATATAATATTTTTTTCCTGGATTAACTTTGAAGGCTTCATTTTTTTTATGTTTTTAAAAAAGTCCAATTGCTTATACCACTAAGTAGTAGATAAAACCCCCTACAAACAAAAAATACTCTCAAACTTCCAAAATTGTGAATTTTGAGCAGTGCTTATAAAGTCAAACATTGAAATAAGGATTATCAAAATGTGAGGATCTCCTTAAACAGAATATTAAAAATAAAACCAACAAGGTAGACCTTCACACTGAATGTTGTTGATACGAGAAACCAAACTTGTGTTTGCCCAGCCCAATGCCGTAGCTGTTCTATGACCTGGAATGTAGTCATGCATGCAGGATCCTAGTTGTAATTCATTTGTTCAGTATTGTAGGCAAGAACTAATGTGGATAATTCATTGAGTCATGTAGCAACTAGTATTTTAATTTGCCGTGGTTGGAACAGGGCACTACAACTAATTAAGGACAGTTTTTCAAACTGTTCATTCAGATAGCAAAAAGGTAAAGACGTCTTCAGTGTCTTTCTGTTTCAGAGAGGTAAACTCTGCATGCTTTGAAACCATGGCCATGCAACCAGGGGCGGACTGACAACTCGTGGGGCCTCCGGGCAATAGGGGATCATGGGGCCCCTGTGTCCTTGCCCAAACTCAAAAAAGCCTATGAATAAAGTACCAGGGGCATCTCATGGGGCCCCCTACTGACCCCGGGCCCTCGGGCAGTGCCCTAGTTTCCAAATGGTCAGTCCGCCCCTACATGCAACTATACAAGACCTAATTTAATAAAAAAACAGCCAAAGTACAGTAACCAATTAAAATTCATCTTCTTGCTTTAGGCTGAAAACTGGTCGCTGTAGCTCAATGTACACATTATCCCTATGACTACGTGCATCGCACGAAACGCGTCGGGGGGGCTGCAGCAACTGGACATCCAACCACCGCTGGTGGACACTTGGAATTTATGGTCAGTAATGTTTTTGGAATTTCTTTGTCATTTACTATATACCCACTATCCTTGAATAAAGGTACCTTAAGCAGTATCACGCTATGTGGTCTCTTATTGGGCACTCTGTGTGAGTGCTATCATTCGCAGTGCCCATTTGGAGAAAAATATGACCCTGGTGGTGATACCTGGTAGCGGATCCTGGTGACCTTTTTCTGTGGAACTTGGATGGTGATCCGTGGGGTAACCTGACCCGAGATCTGACGACCTATCTATGGCCTGGTGACGCAGGATTATTTATTGCGTATCTTAAACGCACATCTGGTGAGTGCGTTTTTCATCCACTCGTTTGGTTTGCACCAATTGTCACTCCCGGATCAGGACATCCACTCACCTGGAATTGTGATCTCTATATGATCCACACAATCACATTGAACTAATTTTAACATTTAATGATCACCTTCAGAGTGATATCACGTATCCACATAAGTTTGAAATAGCATGTTATTGTGTGTATTAACGTGTATCATTACTTAGCGCTGCACCAATTTATTCGGATATACATGTTTTATTGGAGGTTTTTCTTGGTTACCTTTTTCGGTGTATCAGCAGCTTATTAACATAGTTTGTTGTGTGTGTGTGTATATATATATATATATATATATATATATATATATATATATATATATATATATATATATATATACTTTCATTTTATTTTAAGGTAGCGCTCACTAATACCCTTTACTATATCAATGTACACATTGACACTCAAGTACAGTGAATGGGACACAAGATCCATCAGCTATTTTGAACACTTAACACCATGGGGCTGATCTATTACAAAGGCATCAATGAAGTATGGACATTTTACCCATAACTACAAATCTAATTCCAGCTACCATTGTTTCAGCAGCCAAGAAAATGAAAAGCCAGTTCTGTCTGTTTTTAATACACAAGCCCCATTGCTTACAATCTAAACACCGTCTCCATGAATTTGTTTATTAATGACATACATACATTACATTCCAGATCCTGTTCTTCATGCCATCAAAACTAATCATTTATTACTCAATTTTATAATGTGTTTGTGAAGCTAGAACCTTTAATTGTCAAGCAAATAGGTTTTTAAAAGTACGAATAAACAAGTTTAGTAATCTTTAAAGTAAAAGTGTAGGCAAACCAAATAATACACACAGAAATATTAAAATATTAGATGAGAAAAGTTTTACTTGATAAAAAATATAAATCTGTTTATATACAATTCATTTTTTTTTCTTTTTTAATATTAGTGTGCCGTAAAAGCAAAAGCGTACAGGGTATTCATCATTAAAAATGAGAGAGATAAAAACATGGCATTGGTAGGGTATATGAGTACTTTTACAGTATACCTTGGAAATTCGCAGATTGAGTCACATGGGACAATTACCCGTGAGCCTTACTGCACTGGGGAGACCATCGTCAATTGTTCATATAGTTTTCCAATCCAGACAATCCTGCCAAACATACTGGAAGAATGGGAGCACCACACTGATCTGTTCACTTTTATTCCATGTGATGTAGGGATAAATATTCAACGTGCAGCACAGTGGCTGAGTGGTTAGCACTTCTGCCTGGCAGTACTGGGGTCGTTGGTTCAAATCCCAACCACGGCACTACCTGCCTGGAGTTTGCATGTTCTCCCTGTGCCTGCGTGGGTTTCCTCCGGCTACTCCGGTTCCTCCCACACTCAAAAGACATGCTGGTAGGTGAATTGGTTCCTGTCTAAATTGGCCCTAGTATGTGTATGTATGAATGTGAGTTAGGGACCTTAGATTGTACGCCCCTTGAGGGTTAGGGACTGATGTGAATGTACAATATATATGTAAAGCGCTGCGTAAATGGATGGTGCTTTATAAGTACCTGAAATAAATAAAGAAATAATGTTTTTCAGCTGGGGGGGGGGTTCAAAAATTCTCCATCATGTGCTGAAGTTGAGAAGAAATCTGTACTGAACCTCTATCAAGAGGATGGATCTTCAAGGCGATTGGTCGGCGCCAGTGTGACGGCACACAAGCCCTGATGAAGGGGGATATTTTATAGCCCCCGAAACATGTTGGATTTTTATCCTTACATCAGACTGAATAAAAGAACCCATACTGGACTGTGGTGCTCTCATTCTTTCATTGTGGGAACTCCTTGAGGTATCCCTTTCCTCCATCGTGTCCAAAAAATTGGACTGCCTGTCTTCTGTCCACCAAAGGGGTCCAGCACTCTTACAACACACATCTGATTTTTTTTAGACCTCCATGCCAGACACTATGCATAGCCCTAACCATATACTTTTCTCCATTTCAGTCAAAACTGTGACTGCATAGTAAAGCGGCCATGGCATGAATCATAGTCCAGGTTTGTAGTGCTGCATAATAGGCAGGATTACAAAGATTTTTATTGAATTGTAAGAATTTGAGGAGAAGCTCTACACCCTTGTGGTCATTGGGAAGAATCACCCCCTTATGCATTGTTAAAAAGATCAATGGTGTCAGTGGGGACTTATCTGAGAGGCAGAAATGGAAACCCTAATAACCTCTGGAGGAACCCTGGTTGAGAAACCCTGACTAATGAATGCTAGGGCAGTTAAGCCGGCCATGGAGTCGAAAACCATTTGTTTGGTTTTTTTTTCAAACAAAACAAATGATGGCACAATTGTATGAGCCATTTTCCTTTTTTGAATAGAATGTTCCGTTTTCGACTCCTCTATGGCCGGCGTTCGTGTGTATACATAATTGTTAGTTCCTCTATGCACTAAATGGGACTGACAAAAAGCAATGACAGGCAGAAAGAACAGTAGAGATGACCATACAGTCATTCAACAGAACATTATTTCTTGCCATCGCTGAGTCAACTAATTACATTTGAAAGCCAGACTTGGTATTTGAATGGAATCCCGGACACATTAGACAGGTTTAATTACAATATGTACATTTTTTCCTGAATGAAAACCACATTCACAGAAGATTATTCATTCCAGAAAAAATTTCCATTCTGCTCAGACTGGACTTACATTGGTAGCTTAATCCTGATCAGGGCGGACTAACCATTTGAAAACTCTGGCACTGCCCGAGGGCCCGGGGTCAGTAGGGGGCCCCATGAGATGCCCCTGATACCTTTTTCATAGGCTTTTTTTTTTGCGTTTGGGCAAGGACACGGGGGCCCCATGATCCCCTATTGCCCGGGGCCCCATGAGTTGTCAGTCCACCCCTGGTCCTGATACATCTTCTGAGAAGGCAAGCCCTCCTTATCCCTCCATGTTTAGCACAGTCAGTGCCATTTTGACCCCTCTAATCATTAGAAAATCAAACAAACATTACAAATATTAAAAATTTTTGCACAAAAGTCTATTGGTGTACAGCCAGCTCAAGAGGAGGAACGATGAACTTTAGTTTTGAATCTTCTTACTTGAGCCTTGATTCACTAAAGTGAGGAAAGTACTATGGGGGAGATTTACTAAAACTGGAGCACTCAGAATCTGGTGCAGCTCTGCATGCCAGCCAATCAACTTCTGATTTCAGCTTGTTCAATGAAGCTTTGACAATAAAACCTGGAAGCTGATTGGTTTATATGCAGATTTTGCACCATGCAGTTTTAGTTACGTGAATTGGTCATTGTTCATTTTCCTTTGTGTTTCATTCTAAAGTTGGGAAGCATTTACTTGTAATAATAAAAGTTTTGGAAATGT